ATATGTAAATAATATAAAATTATCATGGTCTCTTAGAAAACCTTAAAAGTATATGGTCTCTTAATTTTGGTCTGCAGAAAATATTTCASTAAAAAGTGTATGAAGAACTTACCAAAATACTTATTCATCTTATTCTTGTATGGTTGTACTTAAATGTTAAGTGTGTATACAATCATTTTTAAAACTCTATGAACATTAGCATTCAACTAAGTTTAAAAGGATTYCTTTAATTGAAATCTAATTAGCTTTAGATGCTGTAGGAGTTTCATAAATTATAGAAAAAACTCGTATTGTAGATAAGTCTACAAAATGTATGTATGAAGCATGAATAAACAAATACTGGTCATAAATTAAATTAGTTCTAAATTGAGAGCTTTGCTGTGTACAAATAATAATAATATTAAAAAAATAAACGATATTAGCAGATAATAAAGTCACCAATTTAATGTGGAGTTAATCACGAGCCATAACAAATAAGATTTTATTTGTCATGGGTTTTATAAATTTATTTTATACACTTATACCTAAAATGTATAAATCAATAGTCATATTAATGGGTTTATTTTTCAACAACTTCAAACAATAAAATTAAATATTTAAATATTAATAAACCCTTGGATCATAATATCTAATTATATATTAATGGATGATAAAGTAGATAATAGATATTAGAAACTAAATTTGTCATGCAATAATGTATAATAAGATGTGTACAGACACATAGTTTATGTTTATGGTCAAGCTTACAAARACGAACATTAAAGAATCTTTAAAATTCTCTCATGTTCATTACTGCTGGAAATCTGATGATATGTGATATCACCTTTTCTGAGATTAAATAAATTTTATTGATAAAGGAGGTAGTTGATAAGCAATTTCTGTAAATAAATTCTGTAAAGATTTTTACTATCTAATATCTATGGATATGATCTGCTTATAACTGTTASTGTTTACAAAGTTTTGAACTTATTAGATTAGATATTACTATATCTATCTAATCTATACTACATCTGTGGTTTATTGTAAGTTGTAATTTATAATAGGTTACTTTAAGTTAATTTTAAGGATGAATGGAGTAAAGGATTTCGAGAAAAAACACCAAAAAACTTTCTGTTACACAATTTCTACGCTTAATATTTCTGACAGTTATAAGATTGAAGTGCCAGTTCATATACCATTTGAAGGTAGTATAGTTGAATTCAGTCATAGAATTATAAATGGGTTTAACTTACCGTTATATGTCATAGAAGGTAATAATATAGTTGTGTTTATATTTATTATAAAAACATTTATTTATTTATCTTATCTTTATAGAACTATCTGCTGAGTTAAAAAAGTTTATTGAAAAATGCACAACTGAATTTTATGATTGCCAAACAATTGACGCTATAGAAAGCATTAAAAATGAAAGCATTGAAGTAGAAGATATTGTTAAATATTGGGAAAAAGCATTTCTAGAAGTAATGTGTCAAGATCATAAATGGTTTTTTTTGTTTGTATTTTACAGATTTAATTTGAATTATTAATGCTTTTAGGAAACTTTCTCATTCACTGATAATAAAGGACCTAGTAATGATCAATTGTTTGGTACTGCATTTCACAAATTAGCTCATTCGGGACCTTCTTTAGATGCTATTCTTCATATTGAATATGGTTATGCTCAAGCAGTCCAAGATATCATGAGTAGAAAATGTAGACAAGTAACATCTTTAACAAAAACGTGTGTTAAAATAATTTAAATAAATTGTTTTCGTTGAATGAAATACTAAATTTTTTAAATTATGTTTAGTCAAACTGAAGAAATGAATTATGCTATGGATGGGTTAAATAAATACACTACTGAAGATGATATTAATGCTTTAGCACTAAAGCACTTTGATGACCAAACATTACTTCAAGTAATTTAAATACTTAATCCCTTTATAATAAAGTAATATTATTGTTTTTTAATTAGCAACATGAATTACTATAATGTATAATAACTTATAGTAATTGGAATACTGTAATTCTGAAAATATTATAGTGATTGAATATTCCTAGAATAAACCATGAGGACTTTAGTGGTGTAGACCACAGACTTCAACCATGACTGACCATAGATTTAGTGGAATTATCCACAGTTATTTTTATTTTATTTTTATTTTTTTGGTACAAAATACAAATTATCTTTTAATTTTTTTTTGATCTAAAGTTTATTTCTTTATTTTATTACATGCTATATACAGGGTGATTCTTTTAAGTGGGTACACTAATTATCTTGAAAAGTATTTACTTTTTTCAAAATATTTTTTTACATGGTTTCAAGTTGTTAAAAAACCAACGTTTTTATTAAAAAATTATATTTTTAAATATTTTTTATCCTTATAATTTTTTAAGTTTTTTACTTTTTTGAATGACAACATAGAGTTTTGATTTCATATTCCAAAGCAGAATATTTTTCTAAGTATTTTGATTCATAAAAATCGAATTTAGGACGAGTAGTTTATGAGTTAAATGTATTTCAAGTTTAGTGAAGCGGAGTAGTGGACAAACATTTTGTGGGGTAACCCCGTACAACTCCATTCTGCCAATCTAAACTTTGAATACTTATAACTCAAAAACTACTAGCCCTAAATTCGATTTTTATGAATCAAAATACTTAGAAAAATATTCTGCTTTGGAATATGAAATTAAAACTCTATGTTGTCATTCAAAAAAGTAAAAAACTTAAAAAATGATAAGGATAAAAAATATTTAAAAATATAATTTTTTAATGAAAACGTTGGTTTTTTAACAACTTGAAGCCATGTAAAAAAAGTAGATACTTTCCGAGATAATTAGTATACCCACTTAAAAGAATCACCCTGTATATGACATCATTAGCAATAACAGATAGTGAACTATGAACTTTTTGTGACTATAGTTTATTCCACAAGAGAATAATCACTTTTCACGCATCAAGAATGTGGAATGATTCCATTGGCATCACAAGAACTACATTGTTCTCGATAACACAGAAAAATAGGTGAGAGATGCGCAGTTCTGATGGAAATCAGTCAGCAGACTGATTACTCTCTTGTGGAATGGACTAGATGCCAAGGATGATCTAYAGATTTTATGTTTATGTTATTACTTTACTATAGTTTGTACTTTGTGACTAAATATCTTATTTAAAAAAATGTTCTTAGGGTAAATGGAATAGCAGACTTGATACTTTGAAGCAGGAACAGCGTACTGGGTATAGAGAATGGGTTATGAAAACAGTAGAAGAAATGCAAGGCATTGATGGATTGTATTCCCCTGTTGGGTAAAAACTAAAWACAATAACAAAAAAAAATAAATATGTTTAAATAGTAATAATTTATAGGAATTCTCCTATTAGTATTGTTACAAATGGGTTTACTATTTCAAATATGTCTTTATATGATATGGAAGAAAGCTTCACTATACATCTTGGGTCACAAATGAAATCTACCCATAACATTCGCATTATGTCAGCAGATACTTTAAACCTTTTAAATCTTACATTGGAAGAAAATGGGTATTTAATTTATGTGATATGCTAAATATATTGTTAGCAATAATTACTAACACTTTTTTTTTTTAGAACAGTTGTACATCATCCTCAAAGGTTACAAACAGTATTAGAATTATATTCTCAAGATCTTAAAGGTCTTGTTTTATTTATTGATACAAATAATTTAGATTTCTATTCTGGTCTAGCAAAAGGTAATTAATATCATTTTAATTTGACTCTATAATTTATAGTAAATGTYTTTGTTGTAGAGTTTTTTGATATTTGCGAAAGCAGTACAGAATTTCACTTTGATTCTTTACAAGATCAATTAGAAATTATCAAATCTGATCTTAAAATTGCTGTTGAAAATCGAAAGTGCAAGGGACCCGTTAGTAATTTTTTATCCCCGGAATTGCAAGTAAGGTATTTGTTTATTAATTTAATTCCTCTATCAGTACAAAATTTGTGAAATTGTAGGCTCGACGAAATAAATCAAAACTTTTACAATGTGGCGATGTTTACATTACAAAACATTCAAATCTCGCTTCGGTTCATCTTGTATTTCATATGGTTATTGATGATTCATTAAAATCAGGTTAGCTATTTAGTATGCCTTTAAAAAATATGTGACACTTTTTAACACTAATTAATGGTTTTAGGTGATATCAACTCAAGACATCCAGTAATTTTAGGATTAAGGAATATATTAAAAACAGCTTGTTCATATGATATTACTATGATTACAATTCCATTATTTTTGACTCATGAAATGACAGAGGTAATTACAAATACTTCAATATATACCAAAGAAGACCAAATTAAAATTAAAAAAAAAAAAGAATACATTTTATGTTCTGGACCTTTTTAACCTTTTGACAAGCAGTGACATATACAAGGTGTAAAGGTTAAAACTGACTTTTCGATTAACTTTTGATAAAATTAATTTTTATATTTATTTCTTAGTACTAAAAATAAAAATTTTTTGGATAAATTCAAAATATMCTATTTGTGAATCTTATTATAAGAACAATTTTGACAGTTAAAAGATTTATCTAAGTCAAGTAGTTTATTTTTTAGATTTTTTTTTAAATTCCAATATTTTTTGGTTAAATTAATTTGGAATATAATTCCTTTTTTAAAAAATATGATTTTTGAGAATATGCTGACATGAGTATATTTCTTAAATGATTTACTTATCATATAATGTTATCAATTGTTGTCATACGTTTAATTAGTATATTTATTTTTTTTTTGGTCAGGTGTTTCTGTTACACCCTGTATATTTCCATTTTTTAAAGTTGTGTCTAAAGGAGCAATGATGTATGTATACTGTTCACCGCTAATGATTTTAATTATTTTTTTTTAAGCTTCAACAACTGAGGCTATTATCTGTAAGTTGGTTGGTTGGTACTATTGGGTTTTTGGGACTACAGAGTTTGAAACACTTGTGTGTTTTGGCAGAATTTCATAGTGGRCACCTGTAGGTTTCTGCCACACCCGGGTGGGGAATAGCGGCCTCTCTCCAGACACCTTTGACTGCTTGAAGAGAGGTGCTGCTTGTGACCKAGGTTCAAACCAGCGACGGCATGCATTATAGTCAATGCCTTAGAATGCTTGGCAAATCTCCCCCCCCCCTAATCTATTTTTATTTTATAAGCTTTCATCTTATAAACAAAATTAATTATTATATTCTTTCTTAATCTGATTTCTGAGTTATTAACCTCTATATGCGTGTTCTTAATTCATTCCTTGAAGTTTTAATATAATTTTTTTTTTTAATATACTTTGATATTAAACTTTTTAAATTTTAAACATAAGAAAATTCTTTGGATATACAAATTTTAAGTGTTGCTCCTTTATTTAAAAAATACTTTATTAAAGTTTAAATTATAAAAGAATATTAGTCTTCAAGTTAAAATACTCTTAGTTAAAATTTAATTTTAAATTAAACTTCTATTATTTGTCACCTATATTAATTTTGTTGTTATAAATTATTGATTATTTGCTTAGGATATGACTGTTCCTTGGTGTCAGAAACGAGCAGAACTAGTTTTAAAGTGTGTAAAAGGATTTATGATAGAATCTGTATCATTAGGTGGATCAGAGCTAAAAACTATCCAGTTCCTAGTTCCAAAAGTGAGTTTTACTATATTACTGTTTGATTACCTAATGTATTTATAAAATTGATAACAAATATAAAATAATAATAATAATATACTTAGGGAATATCTGAAGAAGTGTTTGGAATACTAGCAACAATGGTTCCGACTATATTCAGAGTGTCTACTCCACTTGTGTTTGAATCATCGAGGCCAGAAATTGAGTCACAAACTAAGAACAAAAAGACTTCAAAAAGTAAACTTAACTCTAAATCCAAGTAATTTATACTCTTATATTGATCAAATTATAAATTACTAGTTAAATTTTAGTATCATTTTCATGTACTAAAATTATTTATGAAGAATGTTTAATTCAATTTAGAAATATATCAAATTTTATATGAATTTTTGTAAGTTATTATATTATTAACTATTGTTATCATATTATTTAACTTCAGTTTATTTTTGTAAAATTAGTTTTTTTTTTTGATTTAAAATAAAAGTGAAATAATATTAATGATTACTTTAATGTAAGAATTATTGTTATTTTCATTAAAAATAAAATAGTGCAGCACTATTATAGGTCCTGAATAATGAATTTACCTCTATTACGTTAAATATTAGAGTGAAATGACCTTTTATCAAATTTAAAATAAGAATAGTATCTGCTGAATCTCATAGGTTTTATATTTTAAGTTTAAAGCGAGTTAAAAGCATTTTAAATTTATAAAATTCTTATACATTTTAAAATGCTATTAACTTACACTACAGACATTAACACTTCAAATTTAAATTGAAAACAAAAGTCCCAAGATTCACTAGATAATATTCTTATTTTTAAATTTTATAATAGGTAAATTTACTTTAATATTAAACTTAACAGAGTTCAATGAATTATTCAAAACATATCATTTGGTATGATAGATATACACTTGTAAGATAGAGACTACACATACAAATGTAGCATTCTCTTATTATACAATATACAATATATTTCCAACTGAATGCTCAATCTATACAGTTGAAGCAACAGCATTACAGCAATATAAAGTGCGGTGCAGTGTTACATATATTACAAAACAAAGAAACAATACCTAATAASTATCTCATAATCAGTGACTCACTAAGTAGCATCACAGAATCAAAAACACAACACACCCTTCAGGCATATCCAAAYTTATCCAAGRAAAAACCCACAAATACACATACAATATCTAAGGGTAACTGGGTACTGTAGTAATGTAGTATACAAGGTAACGAAAAAGCAGATATAGAAGCGTCAAATGCAGCTTCCTCCAAGGACACCCCCACTTCTCAATATATACACATATGAAGACAAAAAAAAAACTAAACTAAGCAAGTTCAAAACCACCAATGATACCATACAATAAACAAACCAGGATGCCAAGTTAAACTAAATAAAAAACAACATCTAGTTATGGCATAACCCAGAACTAAAAAGGAAAGAGGAAACTATACTAATTTGGCTACGAATAGGACACACATATATCACACACAACCATTTTAAGACACATAAAGAGCCACCAATCAGTGAAATGTATTGATTGGCTTACACGCAGTCAAACATATAATCACTGAATGTCAAAAATACAGACATAAGAAAAAAACACCATATTCCACAGATCAATAGAACCAGACCAACAATCAACCATCAATATCAAGTTGAGTGCATTATTCTGTTTAACTCTCTTAAAGCCTTTTATATCACTCCTAACCTTTTATTTATTCTTAATTCTAATTTAGAAATAGTTATAATTTAAATCAGAACCTTTATATTGGAGGCTGGCTTCAGCATCTAGTCTTATTATAAATATAGTGTATTATTTAAATTTATTGTTCATTTGTTGAGCTATAATTGCACATACAAAAAGCTGATTAAAAAAAGGTCAATTAGGGATTAGTCAACGACAAATAAATAGAATTCTTAAGGAAACTACAGYACGTATTAGTAGACAGTAGACAAATCAATAATAATTTAGATATATTTCATTATAGGTAAAAAATATACAAACACTAGATCATATTATTATWGATATAATTGAGTATGCGACATATTTTTTATTTAACTTTATCTTTAAATAATTTAGATGGGAAAAATTATTAGGTTACGACTGCTAAGATGACATATTTATGATATTGGTACCAATGGTACCTGTTGTTAAAATTTGTAATTTATATAAAGTTTAAATTACAAATAATACTTTGCCATCTAGGTTCTACATTTTAAAGTGGATGCTTTTTAACCGCTGCCTGAGGTTAGAGTTGTTTTCAGAAATTTAACATTAGTGATGATACTTGAAGGGTTAACCCACCATAAAGTATCAATAGTTGCAAAAAATCAATAAATAATGTTTCATTCGTTCATTCAATTCAATTATTTTTCAAATCTCCTCACCCAATATTTTTTATGGATTCGCCACTGATTTGTAAACTTTATATTTTGAAATATTACCTACTCAATTCAAATCAAGTCCACTCTATCACAACTCAATTTCTCTGGAAATTACAACTTAAATTTTAATTTTTGTCAATGGTCATGGTCTRTTGTTCTGTGTGACTGTGACTAAAATGTTAATGTAAATTTACAGATAAATTGTAGGGTTAGGGTTATTCTAATTATGAATTTATGATAGTGGTATCCTTTCCYCTGTTGATTAGCTTGTATTTTCTAATTACCCRAATTTATAAATCTACATCAGTGTGACTGTTTATTATAAGTATTATTTCACAATATTTACATTGTCGGACACWGCATTTATTTGATTATTCATTGTTAGCCTTTTCTGTTAGGCCCCACTTTCAACGTATTAAATGCACAGATGACAGATCAGTGAAATCCTATGAGATTTGGGTAAACGTTGCTATTCCCCACCACCTTATCTTCATGTATTAGAAGCCGATGTGAAGTGTGAACCGATCGAACCAACAGGTGTCTTGGTCGTCAGTGGGGCGGTGGTGGTGGCGGTGGTGCTGATGCTGGATGTACCATGTACGCATGTAGCGAGCCGCTGTACAGCCGTACAGGTGCAGTGATGTCGTTGAAAGTATGGGAACCGTGATCTCGCCGCGCTTTCCCGCCCGTAATCACTTGTCGTATACCGCGTTACCGCGTTGTCGGTGGCGTTACCGCGGCGCCCTGCANTTATCTTCATGTATTAGAAGCCGATGAGAAGTGTGAACCGATCGAACCAACAGGTGTCTTGGTCGTCAGTGGGGGCGGTGGTGGTGCTGATGCTGGATGTACCATGTACGCATGTAGCGAGCCGCTGTACAGCCGTACAGGTGCAGTGATGTCGTTGTTTCCATGGGAACCGTGATCTCGCCGCGCTTTCCCGCCCGTAATCACTTGTCGTATACCGCGTTACCGCGTTGTCGGTGGCGTTACCGCGGCGCCCTGCACGGGCGCACGGCCCGAACAAGCCAAGGCTCTAACGATCTGCCGAGTCTGCCGACCCACGGTGACGATGACGACGACGACATTCTCTCGCGCTTGCCACTCGGGCGGCCCGTCAGTCTCCTCAGTGGCTCAGTCGGCGGCCGGCGCTCAGTGCAGTCAGTCCTTAGTGCTGTGCCGTGTCTGCGATGTGTACTGATGGGTCGTCGCCCGTTGCAGATCGCACGGATTGTGCATCGCTTGTTTTCATTTATCGTGCGTGGCATAGATCGTCAATATTAAAATTTAACGTCGACATTTGCGAACGTCTGTGGTCGTTGTAATATACATAACCATTGCGGTATGCGTGGCGTTTAATCTTCTTTCGTGTCGTCTTCGAACCAACCGAGACCGACTAGTATAGGTCTGGTAGACTAGGTATGTACCAATGTACCTGCATGGCTACATGTAATAATAATATAATAGTTATGCTATAAAGCGGGGCCCATCTAACCGAGACTATGTGTGACGTTTTAAAAATTTTATATTAGAATGTAGTATAATTTTAAGGGATTTGTATGTCTTATTATAGGATATTCCGAACAACATTGCGTTCTAATTATTATTTACATGTTAGTATGTTACATGTTTTACAATACGTTTGTAATACGGTTCTGTTTAACAATATAAATGATTGTCTATTTGCCTCCAAATGTGTTCAAGCTTGTGAGAAATCAACATTTCTTATCAAAGTGTTTTTTTATGTAATATATATTCATCTGTAGGTATTAGGTAACACATTGCAATCCAATTTTAACAATTAATACATATAACTACGATTACTAATAGGTACAAAATAATAATACAGTAGTACACTAATATAAGTAGCTAATACATTTATAAAACGAAATAATTTCAAAATATACAATAGATTGACCCAGTGGTTTGTTGATTKTATATAAATCTATCTTAAATAAATGGTTAATTATATAGTTAACATGCTTTTTATATAGATCATAGGTTTTTAGCTTGTTTATAATGATTTTATCATCATTCATCAGTATAATATTGTGAATAATGACAGGAATTGACTCCGATATTAACAAGATCTTTTATTTTAAACTGTATTACCATTTACCTATGTAGTATTTATGTTTGCTCATTTAAAACGTCCGCTTTTTAACGATTACCTATACGTACTAATGTACTATATGTGATTRTGGTCAAAACTGACGCTTTTAAAACTACAAAAAAATATATTTATTATAATTATTCATTTTAAATGTATGCAGGTATGTAGCACATTTCGGTATTCGAGAGATCATATTATTTTCCTCGTAAAATCACAACATTTACATTACAATATACATCAATAAATACGCGCCAAACCACCGACTGCTCGAATTCTACCATTAATACCAGCTGGTATAATCGTTTTCGATTGAGCACGTCGTTTAACAATCATTATTCATTACAGATTTAGGTAAAGAGTTATTATTAGGTATACCTGTTGGGTATTTCTCATCTACTGACTACATTATTATAGCACGCCGTATGTTATGAGTTTTGGGCTAATTAATTTTTCTTGACTCTTAAGCTTAAGCATATAAATTGCCTCGTAAATATTGCCATGTGTTTAGGYGAGACGTGTAAAATGTGTTTGGTTAGGTACAGACGGTACAGTGTAATTTTAAATCGTCTTGAGATCGCACTTGTAAAGTAAGACTATGAGATATATTATTTGTACGACTTGGTTTAAACAATACCTTGCTCTAAAAGATGATATTAAATGTATAAAAAAAATACAAAACATTTTGAATCAGTATCTATCAAAATTGCGTTATAAGTTTATAACTTACTGCGATTATAAATATTAGTTCTACTTTTTGTGATGTGCACATTC